TTAGTTCAGTACTTTTGGACATCTTCTGTTTTCTTTATAAAATCCTTCTCTTGATTCCCTTAAACATAGTTGAACTGAAATGTCTGCATGTCCAGTGTTATTGCCTGGATCTTGAATGATTTCCATGAACATCTACCTTTTTCAGATTAGTTATGAGTAACTCTTTTTAAACTTTAATTTTTGAAATTTCTGATTTTTTAAATCACAAAATTTCCTTCCAGGTTTTTAGTTTCTGTAGAGAGACTTTAAATCCCAAAATGTTCCTGAATCAAGAATAGTAGAGCTCACAAGAAGATCTGATATAAATGATCTTCTTTTTAATTCACTAGTAAATGGAAAAAAATAATCCTTCTATATTTATGTGTATTTACGTGGCCTTATGACTGCTGGTTTTATTAAAGTTCCCTCTCAGCAGCAGGAAAAGAAACCAGGCTGCAAAATTATCTCAAGTCTAGACACAGAGGGCCTCATGTTGGTAGAATGAATCACAAGCCATAAAGTATACGTTAACCTCTGTTCACTGTCTTCTATTGTCTTTAATTTTGCATCGATAGATCCTAATTCACTATTATTTGAAAATATTAAACATCAGTATTCAATGGTCTCTGAAACCTTCTTTAGCAGGTAACATTCCCTTTCAATAATGGTGAAGGCCATCAGTGCTATGACTTTATAGCCATACGGATGTGTGGATGCTACCTAGAAAAAAAAATACCCACTTTCTCCCTCAGTTGCTCAGCTTTGTTTCTTGCAGTTCTGTGTATCTTCTAGACCTGCAGTTCATCCACAGGCCGCCATGGTCCATAGGCCTGAGTTTTCAATGTCAAAAGAAATCAGGATTTGAAAAGAAACACATTCTCCTTCATTCTGAAACAAAAGGAGCACAGGAATAATTTCTAGCTCATCTCTGGGGGGTTTCATTCACACATGCAGGATACCTTATTGGCACGTTCACACCATTATTTCCTTAACTGCATGGTTTCTCCCCCCCCCCATTTTCCAGATTTTGAATAATCCTTTCTGGATTCTTCAAAAATTACTGTTAGCAAAGCCAGAATTTAAAATACCAGTGCAAAGATAAAAGGGTCTTTTTAGTGGCAGACTAACATTTCTACTGATGAGATCATTCTAGACGTCTTACAACATTGCTACACTGTGCTTGGGTGCTACACTGGCAACCTTCATTCCTGCATTTCCTAACTATTAAATGACTGTGATTTCTCCACATCATCTGGTGAATTGTCTTCTACTGTTTAAACCATGAACCAAAACCTTCCACTGAAGAGTAATGCTAACCATATGGAACTGTATCAATCATGCATGGTCAGAGAATCACAGAGTAGCACTCACTTCTGTATGCAAACTGGTAGAAACTCTACAGCAAACGATTAAGTTAGCAGACACACAGGTAACTATGATATAAGGGGGAAACCACAGCCATTGTACAGAAGTTACACATCACAAATCCATTAGAGTTCTCTGAAGACTAAGGGTGATCCTGTCCAGAGGGTTTCCAGATTAGTGGGGGTAAGGTTTTGTACCCACAGAAATTAAATAGTCACAGAATAGTAGGGAATGCTGTCTTCTGCATTAATAGCTGTTTAAAATGAAAGAAATAAAGGATGAGAATAAATATTGAGTTGGAAATTAATATGACGGAAACAGAACACATTAAGTTTTTGGAAAATGAGATGAGAAGACAAAATTAGCAAGGATATGAAATAATTCAAGATGATCAAAGCTTCATTATAACACTATAACACATTTCTTAGTGTTGTATTGTGGGGCAATTTAAAGACTGCTAACATTTAACACTGATAAATGCAAACAGGGAAAAGCATTAGGCTGTAAATTACCTATTACCTTTGACTTTGAATTTACTGGAGATGATAGTAGGAATTCTTGGTAAAGAAATAGAGAACACAACATTATGTTACTATGTAAATCTATAGTCTTTCCCTTTCAAAAACAGAAACAGAAATCTAAGATGAAAAGGTAGAACAAAGATACCAGTAACTTCCACATAACGAGAGATTAACTAGGCGCCTCAGTGAGGTCAAGAGACAACTTAGGGTATATGAAGTTATAAATAGCATCAGGGAGGTGATTAAGCAATGATTACTCACTTATTTCTCACAGCACAAGAACAAGGCAGCACCCAATGAAATTACGAGGCAGCTGCTTTAAAACAAACTAAAGGAAGTACTATATCATACAGCACATAATTAAATAGTGGAACTCATGGGATATTGTGGAGGTCAAAAATATAAGTAAATCTGAAAAATATTAGACATGTAACATAGCCCATCAGTGGCTATTAAATATTATATTCCAGATGAAATTTCATTTTGGGAAGTCCCGACTACTATAAGCTCGGAGAGGGCAAAGTAGAAGTATTGTGCTGTGTTTGCTGCATTTCTTGTACACCTTGCCTAAGCATCCACAGTTGTCACTGTCAGAGACAAGAGACCTAAATAACCTTTTGGTCTGACAAGTTATGACTACTTTTACACCTTGTAGGTGGTCCTGCCCTAGGTAGACAAGGGGGCAACAGACAGTGACTTACAATTTTTATGTGCAAATTAGTTTATGAATCAAATACAGCAGTGATACATTCAAGCATGGCAGAGTTTAGGAGAACTTTCTCATCTAGGTGCAGCATACAGTGAATGCACCTTTCCTGAGCCAGTTTGGGTCCAGGAGCATGTTTTCAGTTGCATTTAGCCCTGTCTAATGTCCCTTGGCTCCATGAAGTGCCAGTTTAAGTGTCTTTTATAGCAGGGCTTCCCTTTCCAGGGGCACAGACTCTGCATAACACCCCACGCTTCCGGCTCCCTACATCTGTACTACCCTGTAATCAAACTAGTAAAGCTCCTAAAGAAGGAGGTGCAACAAAGACTGTGCTGAGGAGCCATCAAACCAAGCTTTCTTGCTGATAGCTTGGGTGTGGAGGTGAAATCTACCTTCTTTTGGGATTGTACCAGCCTTCCACGTCTATAAGCTGTAGAGCTGATAGTATTTTGCTTATGTGAGTTAAAGCTACTAGCTAAACAAGAAAAGGAGCACTGGAATTGAGGAATTGTTTTCAACAGTGATAGTCTTCCTCATAATAATTACAGCGTTCTTTCCTCCCCTGCTGCGACTCAGCTTCTCCTGCCCATCTGCCCAGTGTTTTCATCTTGATACTATCTTGCCTTTCTTCTCTTTTGTCCCACCTTGTTCTTGCTGATATGCTTCCACCACCAATTCTGTCCTCCTTACCATAGCTCCCTTTGCTTCTGTTCCTGTAACCAACTTTGCTCTAGTTCCCTTCACCAAGCTTCTTGTGCTAACTCACTTCAAAACTGCCACCTTTCTCCTTCTTGTGCTCTTGCTCCTGGCTTTCTCCATCTGTCCTTTTCTCTTTCCAGCTGCTTTCCAGAGCAGCTGTTTCCACTGCTGTACAAAACCCAGATGGCCAAGTACTGACAGAGACACATGCATGCTCTTCTCAGTTCCTGTGCCTGGAGCCATGTGATATTCCACTCATGTAGTGGCAGAAATAGATGTGAGTCCAGTCATACGGAGGAAATGCAAAAGGCCGAAAAATGCTTATGGTCTTCAGAGATGTTATATGCTGACCCCTGAGTGTCCACATGGGTTATGTGTGGCTTTTTCCCCAGAACTCTGGCAGTTGGTCACTCATAAGTAGTTTCACAAAGACATTGAAAGGCATTTCCTCAATTCCAGGACAACTACCACACCTACGCTTGAAGTCACCATCCCAGAGGTACTAGATTTCCACAGTGAAAACACTTTGAGAATATTTGTAGCTCGTGCGTTTAATAAATCACTTTTATTCTGTTCCCAAAAGCAGGTCAGTGGTTTTAGCCCAAGCTCAGCAAGCAGCCTGCCTGTGGTAGACACAGCCTGTGGAAAGTTCCATGCAGACAGATTCAGGCTGGCAAATTTTAAACTGGAAAGAGGGCCTTCTAATGGAAAATATTAGGAACCCTTATGCATGGCTACCCAGTCCTTCCAAACTGTTTAGTTTCCCTACTTAAAGTGAGTATGTGCATGCATGTATGTACACACACATATATATATATATATTTTCAAACTGGCACACTAAAACAATACTATTTAGAAAATGTTGTTGCTGTTAACTCCTTCCCCACCAAACAATTTTTGCCTGGGGTTTCTAGCACAGTATAAGCAGGACACTTTAAAGATGGAATACTACCCTTTTTTAGCCACTACTACAGTTTCAGCTAACACAGTTGACAATTATTTGAAGAAGAGACAATGATGTGCCTATTAAAGAGCCCAAAACCTAGCCCACAAAGACTCTTTGGGGCATTTCAGGTTTTAAGCATGTCAGCAGCACAAGCTGAACAGAAAGCTTCACAACGTTGCCCAAGCACTCCTTGCAATACAACACAGCATTGTCCAGGGCAAGTGCAAGGATACTCCTTTTGCAGAGATACGGTCTTGGCAGAATACCTTTTGAACGGCGTATTGCACTTACAAGATAAACAGTTCACTTAGAACTCCTACTCCTTTTTCTTCCCCTATCAAAGAAAAGTCACTGTTTCCCCAGATCACATGCATCTGAGTTTCCAGCAACGTGAACTGTAGGCTGAATGCTTGGTGATTCTCCATTAAAAGCATCACTACTTCTGAAAGCAATGGCTGAAAAAACCCACCTCTGTGTTAAAACATACATACTAAACCCATTTTACAGCTGCTTTGGTTGTGAAACTCCAGCTCGCCTCTGCTCGGGACAGTTGCGAGCTGGCACTTTGGCCGCGCAGGTGCCAGGGAAGTTAAATGCTTCTGGCGGAGACGGCTCAGGGAAACCACTTCTAGTTGTGGCTGCTGGCGCGTACCGGGGGGAACCGAACCCCCGCGGTACTGCCGCTACCGCAGAGAGCGGGTGCGCGCACCCGAACCAGGCCCGCCGCTGTCACTGCACGTCCCGTCGCCCCGGGCGCGCTCCCCTCTCTCCTCCCCATGCTCGGGATGTTTTTGACTTCCCGTAAGCACCGCGACGCCGCAGTGAGGGGATGCGGGCTCCCTCAGGGCAGAGCCGTTGCCTTTCAACTTCGAATCCGGCGGGGGCAAACCGCCCTTATAACGGACCCCCCTAGGAGCGGGCTCGGCAGCCTAATCCTAGATCCCCCCTTCCCACGGGGGTGATGGAAGAAGACAGTAAACGCCCCGGGGATACCGGGGGATCCCCCATCCCAGCCCGACGGGGCCCTACAGCGCCAGCCCCGCCCCGCCAGTTACCGGCGGCCCCGCCTCGGCGAGCGCCCCCTGCTGCCCGGCGGGTGGCGCGGCGGGGCGGCGGCCGGCGGTGGCGGAGCGGTGCGGAGCTGGGCGCGGAGGGGCGCGCAGGTGTGCGCGGAGGCGGTGAGCCTGTTCGGTTCGGGTGCGGGGCTATGCAGCATGGCCGAGCTGCTCGGCGCGCCGCACCGTACCACCGGCTCCACCTTGCTGCACCCGCTGAGCGGGCTGCTGGGCATCCCGCTGGACCAGGTGAGGCTGTTTGCCGTGCCGTGCGGTGCCGGGAGCGGCGGGGGTCTCCAGGCGCGGCGCGGCTGTCACTCCTCGCATCTGCAAAGGAGCTCTGGGGCAGCGCGGAGGCGCCGTCCACCGCGGAAGACCCCGGGGTAGGACCGCGTTCCGGAGGCGAGCGGCGCAGAGCGGGGCAAGGTGGGGGCCGGGCTGGGGTGAGCAGTGCAGCTGAGCCGGGCGGGCTGCTCGTTGCTGCACTGAGAGCTCTTTATTTTCCCCGGCAATGCTTTCCTCTTTCTGTGCTCTTACAAGAAGTCGCTGCTGCTGGATGCTGTTAAGGGACGGCGTTGAGCGAGTTGTGGCTAAGTTTGAAGAGTTTAAATAGTCGCGATGCTCGTCCGCCTCTGGGGTACCGCGGTGGGTGTATGGGGTCTGGTAGGACATCGTCAGTTTCAGGCTGCAGATTTGTGAAGGAGGCACAGAAGTCTCAACCTAGTGCAGGTGCCCGGTGAAATTGCAAAGTGCCTGCATGGAGGTACGCAAAACACACGAGCGGGTGGGCAAGCAAGTTTGCATGAAGTGCTTAACAGGACAACATATTTTTGGCTGTGGTGTTGTCAGGTTGTTCGTAGTCTTGTTAAGCTGATCTCACACAGGCAGAAAACGTTGCTCCCCCCCTTCATTGTCTCTCTAGCTGGCATGAGCCTGCTGCCCTCCTGCATTCTTTCAACAACGAGGAAGTCGGGTCTGGAAGTTCATGCTGACCAGAAGTTGTCTCCAACAAACTACTGGGAGGTTGAGCTGTGCTATAAGTAAACCAGGGCAACTGAGACGTGCTGGTAAAAGCCAACAGAAGGTTGAGATTTAACTGCCTTCCTCTGTTTGCAGAGTGGCTGGTGCTGTGTGTCAGTTTTTACTACTGTTTGGTTTTGAAGTTGAGTAAGAAATATATCATTTCCTAGATTAAACCCTACATCTAACTGTGCCAGTTGCTTCTTTTAAAACAGAAAACAGGTTTTGATGCTAAAAAGAGGTCTATTGCTCCATGTTAAACCAGTCAAATAGTAAAGGCCTATAATTATTTATAAGCTATTAATTTAGAAGGTATGTGATTAGCAATAGCTTCTTTTTTGAGGTATTCCGTGCCATGATTGATAAATACAGGAACACTAAACAAACCAGGAATAGCAAACGTTTTCTGTTCCAGCTTATTTGTGATGCCATGGTGTACGTACAGTGTTAGGCTGCCTGGGTCACCAAACTATGAAGATTTGATGGACTTGACCCCCTTGCTAGGGTTTGTTGCAGAACTGCAGCACAACTGTGCTGAAATGCAGCTTTCCTCACATGGAAATCCCTTTCCCCACCCACCCCTACTTAATTATCCCTATGAGAGGATGTTATCAATAATTTAAAAAAGTCTTCCCCACTCCTCTTGCCCCACTGCAATGTGCTGGACCATACCGAGCATCAGGGATTCCTGCTGCCCTGAAGTGGGAAATACCCATATTGCTGCTTGCAAGTGTTGTGTCACTGCTGTCTCCTCAAGTGACAGGAGTTTCAACCCTGACCTGCAGTGCTAATGCCCTTGGAAACAAAATAAAAAGACTTTCACAGGGCTCTTCTGCCAGGTGGGTGGTTACTTTGCTCATTTGAATGAGACAGGTCTTTTGCTGAGGGGCAAAAGTTCACTCACTCGGAGCTCTGCATACGAAAGACTAATTTGCTGGATATGAATCCCACATGGTTTTTAAATGAGTTCCTTATTTCAGTGCCAGCAGGTTCTCTGTGCCTTCCACTCAGTGGCTAGGCTGTGGCGGGGGAGGTAATCTCTGGTTTGTCACTGTACATCAGTGTCCTCGTGCTTGGCCTGTTGAATGGTAGCAGCCCTCTGGTCCATGGGGCTGGCAGTTCCCTGCGGCTGGCCCTGAGCCTCCAGAAATGCAGAGAAGTGCCCAGAGAGCAAGAGGCAAAGGCGCACAGGTGGAGCTTAGACCCTCCGGATCACTGTGGTATGTGAAAGCTGTGTGTGTCTGCCTTCTATGGTAAGCACAGAGAGGACTTGTCTCTTCTTTCTAGAGATAATTTCCCGTGAGGTCTGAGCCATGAGAGGGATTTCAGTCTATGAGAAGGATGAGAAAAAAAGTTGTGCTGAATGTCTGAAAAACTAAAGTCATAATCATTACCCTTTCATAGCAGGGGCAGAAAAGCTATAGTGATGGTCATGGAAGATGTTTTGCCATCAAATAACCAGCTATTGTCTCACTCTTTATGTGAAGCGTGGATGAATATGAAAATGTCATCTTTCACATTGGTGGCTTTTGTTATTTTAAAAATTTACAATTTAGGTTTAAAACCAGCACAGAATTACAAGAGGGTGCAGTTCCTATCTGTGTTGTGTCCCTGGCAGACTGTTCACGTTTTATTTAGTAAATGGTGTACTGCATGAGAACATAGCAATATTTTCTGCTTTAGGTGTTAAAATAATCCTGTCATTCCAGTGCATATTTGCATGTCTCTTTAATGGATGATTTATCTTTGAATTTAGCATTGAAATACTATTTTTTTTTGAGAAGCGCTATATTCAGTAACAAGATTAATGAGCTTGAAAAAGGATGAAAAGATTCTGTGTTCAATTCATCCTCATATCCCAGGAAAGCAGACTTTGAAGTTTAGCTGAATTGTGTTCTAAAAATATCTGGCTAGGTCAATGACACACCTCTGGCAGCATTGGGAAAAAAGTTTTGGTTGTGTTTTTTAACCTCCTTATCATGTACACTCTAAATCACCGATTCTGGAATGTCATCCCTCCAGTATACAATAATATTTTCCAAGGTGTGTATACTTCTTTTGTCACATGCCCTAAATCACCAATTCTGGAACATTATTCTCTACCATAGATCAGTGAGATACGGGAATTTAAACATTAAACTTTCAATAGTGTACTCCCTGTAAACAGAGTATGTGTGCATAAACAGAGCAAAGAAATAAATGTGCTATTATTTAAAGGTATACTAAAAGTAAGTTTAATGGCACTGTTTATCTATGTGGAGTTTTACCATGACATCCTAAGCTCCAGGCATCTCTAGAAGTAATTCACATTCAAAGGGTTAAGCCATACTATTTAAAAGTTTCACTTCTCAAGGTTCTTTTGCAGTACCCCTGATAACCCAGGTTACCTATTGCTTAGAAGTAGCAGCTCAAATGTAGACGGTCAACTACCATACAATAGACCTTACATTTTAACAGGCATTACCCTGACCTGTGCCAGACAGTACCAACTCTGTCGACTTTCAGGGAAATATGTGCTGTATTTAAGGAGACTCTCTCAAAAAAAAATATGTGGGCATCTTCTGATGTTTCTACTGGAGAGCTTTTAACTTCAGTATTTTCATTGATGAGGCCCACCATGTTCCTCCAAGGGAAAAAAAATAACCATTTAAACTCTTATTTTTGCTGCTTTTCCTTCTGGTTGTATGTCTTATTTTGCATTTTAATTCTTTCATTGGAGCTGGTCTGCATGTTTATATTTTGGCAGCAGTTTAAATAAAGCACTAACTCTGGGGAGGGACTGTGCGACATGCCTTCGAGTCTTGAGATAGTTGAAGTATGAGTGATGTCTTCCCACTGTTCCCTGAGTTTGAATAGCTCTCTGCCAAAAACATGCTGTTGAATTAGTTTAAATCTCATTTTACAAAAATCACCATGACTTCTGTTCCCCAAATCAGGGCTTGTGTTCTTAAATTTCACATTTTCCAGCTCTCTTGTTGTCCGACTTCAGTTTTACTTCTATGCTTTCTGGTTTAGTTAGTCAGCAGATGTGTTAGTTCCAAACCTGTTTACATGACTTTACTAATAATTTGGGGGGGGGCAGTGAAAAGCCAAATAAAAAAATTACCTTTCTAGGGACTCCACTAAGCTGGGGATTTTGAGGTTCCTCTAATGGCTGTCAATAGAAGCATTAGAAAATGTAATGCTGAGGAAAACAGGTAATCTGTTGTAGATTGGAGCAAGATAACCAAAGATAGAAGTTCATTCAAGACATAAGTGGGGCTAGTATCTGATTTTTACTTGAAAAAAGCTACTCTAAGGCAACAGCAACAACTGTCCATGTTTGGTATGAACTATTCTATGGTTTAATTTCCTAATGCCAGCCATTTTGCAATTGGAAATTCAATGTTTTCATTTTGAGTTGCAGCAGATTTAGAGCTTACCTGCCTGACAACCTCAACTGCAAAAAAGTAAAGCTGTGTGACTTTTAGTTATTTGAGAAACAGTAAGAAAAATGAAATTTGAAATCAACATCTCAAAATGCATTTATAGAAAGCTATTACTTAGGTTGCCAAAACCAACTTTAATTTTGATATTTTCTGATTTTTGAGTACTCAGATTTTTTTTTTTTCCTTAAAAGAGATCTTTTTGTTGTAATGCCATGAAGGACATGGCATTGGATTTAAAGAACAGAGGCATAGTCTTGCTGACCTTGTTTAACTGGGTCTCTAGTTAAAGAGGTGCCTGCAAGCAGGGCTGTTCACAGCGCTGGTGGGCTGCGTGGCTTTTCTGTGTATTTAGAGCAAATCCACTCTAACCTGGTGTACGTGCTTGTGTAGGGCCCAAATTCTGTATGTTCCTGAGAGAGCCCTGAGACAGATGTATAGTGCTTCCTAAGGAGTAAGGCTGTATCTAAAATATTTGCTTCTGTTCAGGTCAGCTATTACTGACAATTGCAATAATACAAATTTTCCTCTGACGTGGGAACACATGCTGCCTTCTTCAATGTGTTCTTACTCAGTTCGGCACTGCAGTCTTGAACCTTATGGCTGATATGTTGATATTATGGGTGTAAATATTTCCACATCCTTCATGCCTTGAAAACAAAGTCTGTTCTATTAAGTTTTTTTATTTGGCAAGGGACAAAAGTGCAACTGGAATTGGCCACTTGCAATTTTCCCCCTTTTAAGCACTTTCCTTCTCATTTGTGTTAAATGAGATCTGGAAAAATAAACATTGAAGTGCTGCAT